ATGTTCTAGCTGCAGAAAAGGCTTTTTTCATGGTAAGTACTTTACCACAAGTATGAATTCTGTGGCTGTGGACTAAGAAATTTGGGAAATCTGCCTCTGAATATGGCAACTACTACTGAAGCACCTCAGACAAGTGTTAGCTATCTGATAGTTAAGTTTTGTCTGAACTGAAGCTCAATATTGTTCTTGCTAACATGTTCTGGGACTTCTACTACATGTGGCTTTTACAGCCTATTTCTGGATGAGTGATCTTCCTTCAGTGGTGTTCGAACTATTATTTTTTAATTTTTTTCCCTTTCCCATGCTTGAAGACAGAAATTCTGCTTAAAGGAGGGAAGAACTGTGTAGAATCCATATCCTCTGCAATCAAGAAATGAATGTTATTTTTAAAGCTTTTAAAACTGTGTTTCATAGAATTGTTTAGCTTGGAAAAAGACCTCTGAGATTATCAACTTCAACCATTAACTCAGCACAGCCAAGTCCACAACTACACCACATGTACACATCTTTTAAAAAACCTCCAGGGATGGTGACTCCACAACTTCTCTGGGCAGCATGTTCCAGTGCTTGACAAACCTTAAAGGGAAGGAATCTCAAAAGTCTCAGCAGGTCTGGTTTTAGAGAAAGAAAACATTGCTGTTCCCAGAAGGACACTAAATACAATTCAAGTGCTTTTCTTGTGCTACCTTAAATCGTTGTGACTTTTCCTACTTTGGGGAGAAAAGAGAAGCATTTATGTGTACAGACACTGCTGACAATGCCTAGAGGAAAGGTATTTAATAAAACGACCGAGGGATAATGCCAACTTAACTTACAACACACTTGAACTGTATTCATAGTGTCCTTCTGAAACATGTATTAATCCTATGAAGCTGTGTAAGTGTTAGTTTACTATTCTTGTTCTTCCCTGATGATGGTTCTCTTTTTAATCTTATCTCACCTCTATATTGAAAGTCCTTCATGCTGCTTTTTACAGAAAAATAACCTGTAGAGCTCCACATCACTCAGAGACACGGTGGCAGCAATACAGTCTGATTCAGATTTTTGCTCTGCCTCTGCATTACAGTCAAAGGCAAATGCAGAAACTTCCTGCAGTCTTCAAAAGCAGTGATTTTAAAGCTTTCTTTCCTTTCTTTCTTCTTCCTTTTTAAGAACTATCAGACACGATGTTTTGCCTTGAGGAAAAGGGCTGTATAACACTTTAAAAAAACCTCATATTTTTCCAGAAAACCAATGAGTTGATCCACTATGAAGTCAATAGAAAGTGTTTCAACCAGAGTAATCCTTCAAAAGGAGTACTTGGAATTTAATGGTGTTTGAAAATGGAATTTTTGTGAGTTTTCTTACTGCTTGAGCTCAAGCCTCTTCTCAAAGCTCACTATAAATGCATCACCTGCAGTAGATTTAACTGCAGAGAGAGTTTCTTTAAAACAACTACATATGTTTGTCTGCATAAACATGTCTTGTATCCTGTAAGAACTTACTAGGCCAAGTTATGTATTCCAGTTTTCAAAGGTGAATACTTGCAAAATATTCTTCTGTGTAAACAAGTTTAGTTGTGTACCTTTGTTCTTTTTTTAAAAAAAGCAACCCAAACCTATAATGTACAATCGGAAAATGCCTGCTCATAAAGGGAACAGGTAAAACCTTGACCTTCTCTACTAAAATCCAGTTGCTATAGGCTCTGAGACTAAAAGGCAAAGTAAATAATGTATGTTTATCATGCAATTTAGTACTTATACACCTGAGCTGTAGATCTTCAATGCTGTAACAGGAACATTTTTTGCCACTCTGTGATTAAAAGAACCCCACAACTCCCTTCACAAGCAACTGGCAAAGGAAGAAATCAAGTGTGCTTCTCTCCTTCTCTGCCATATCCTCCTGGCAGTGAAAGATGAAAAAGGTAAATAAATCCACTGGAGAGCTTGACTGAACTTACATGCCAGCCTTGGGTATTGACAGGTAGCAAGGACAGCACAGAGCCCGAGGCTTTTCCCACACATTCTCCAGTGGAAACAAGAGTAGGAGGCCTGTGCTTTCTTATTTTTGGACAAGGAGTATGTAGTTAGCTGTAAGAAAGTCCAAACATAATTCAAAGTTAGCACAGGACTTTTTGTTCAAAGGAGTCAGGGCAGCACAGCTCGTGCTAATATACTCATCAGTTTTGCTTATTTTTTGCAGAAGAGGTTAAATATGGGATAGAATGGCAGACTTCCAAATGTATTATGCACCATCAAATAAAGTCTTCATCCATGACAACCTATTTATTTTGTTACATGAACAATTTTGACATGTGTTTCAGAGAACCTGAAATGGAACACATCACTTCTGTCTGCCACAAGTGCCATAATGAGATCTGATCATTTTCTGCACATCCTGTTTTCCTCTCTTGAAGCAACTGTCTTCTCTGTAATCCAGGTCACTGAATCACCTAAGCCAGCTGCTCACTTGATTTCTTAAAAGCTTCAAACATGACAGTTCAAATTATTATACTCCAGCTGCTTTGCTGTAAACAGATGAATTCCAGCTAAGCATTAGAAAATGATTTAAAGACACTATGTTTGATTCTTTCTATCCATCCATTATAATGCCTCCTGGAAATGCATGATGAGATAGGATGGCATGAGAAGAGGAAAAACATACACAAGGAGTATATAGTTATGTTACACCCTGAAAGATCCCACTGAACTCCTCACTGGAATACAGTAAAAGCCAACGACTTGTTTTGTCAGCCTTTGCATCAGTTAAGGGTATTTCTCCCTTTCTGTACTGCTAAGACTGCCAGAGATTCAAGAACTTTAGCAGAGAAATTGTACCTTAGTTCTCCAAAAAAGAACACCCTAACTACAGCCATTCAAGCCCAGAGATAGTCTGTTACTGTGTCGAGTGCTCAATTCATGGTAAATGCCTAAAAACTGAAGACTAGTGAGTGTACAACTCACTTTAGTGAGTGTACAACTACATAAATACATGTGAGAACAGAGTATAAACCATATTATAGCTTAATAATGGTAAATAACACTGTCCCTGCTCTGTAAAATAAACTCAGCGAGAATTTAATTCAAACTATTTAAGATATAAGCCTTTGCTGAGACTATAAGAATTTTGAAAGTGTCTGAATGAACTGCATGGACACTAAGGCAACCCTCTCGTGATGACATAAGCATCTGAGAGAGTTTGCAGTAACCAGAAATGCTTTCCCTAGGATTCCTGCCCTAGGCAGTGCCCTGGTGTACCTCCATGCAGGATGTGGCCTCTCTGGGAACACAAGGATTGCTGTAATTGTAAGAAATCTCAGACTTCATGTCACACAGTTTAATGCAGTATTACACATGCAGCAAATTGTACAGGAAATAAACAGTAAGTTGCAATGATCCAATTTTATCCTTTTTATTTGCAAAACAGACCCAAATCAAGAAAATACAGCATATTTACATAGAGCTGATATTTTTATACACAAAGCATTATTATATTTACACATTTTAATGAATATAGAATAATACTTTGCTATATGGGAACAAAATATCCATAGTAGAAATATTGAACCAACCAAGACTACTATATTGATTGCTAACTGGCCATTCTTTTGTAATCCCTCTCTCTATCTGTTTGTTTGTGCCAGCAGAAATCCTTTCACTTAGGCACTGTCTGTGGTATGATTTGTTATGCACTTTTGTTCTCTGTGCATGCTCAGTCACATGCTTTTATAAAAGAAGATGCACGTTCACTGCTGGTCCCTGAGGAAGAGTAATACATAAATATATATACACAGACCCAAACTATTTCACATTTGACTGAAATGCTAGCTTCAACCAACACTACAGCAACCTGAAGAGCACATTCTAGCTTTGCACTTCTCTTTGCCCTGAATAGGTATAGTTGCTTGAGCTACAACCTCAATATATGTGCTATGGAATTCTTAAGGATTTGCAGCACTGAAACTTCAAACTAATAATTTACTGATTTGTTTGAAACCCAGTCCTTCCAACCACCAAATAGCTATCTATCTTCAATTTTATTTCATTTGACTTACTGCTTCCTCCTTCTGGCAGCAGGTTTGTCATATATGTCAAGTGTAACAGCCATACTCATCTTCCCTCCCCAGTCCCCTCTCTGGAGCAGAACAGACCCTGTGGCTTCAGAGGCTCCTGTGGCTACATTTTCTAGGATGATATTTGTTCTTTTCCCTCTATTTGGTCCATCTCTCTTTTTTGAAGCAAGAGAATGAAAGCTTGTCTTCACATTTGCCTGCCCTCTTTGGTCTGCCAAGATTGTCTATAAAGATACCACTATGCCAAGATCCAGAACAGCCCAGTTAAAAACTTTTCCAATACAGCCTTCCCTTTTGAAAGGGATACCAAGAACTACTCGTGCTGTATTTTATAGGCTTTTTTAATCTTTGCCCTGTAAGAATTCAGGTAGACCCACTCTGCCATCATTCTTACCAGCACAGCTGGAAATACCTGAAAAGTAAACAACAGTGTGAATTTGAGTATCATCAGGGACTGCTTGCTCTGCTCCAGCCCTCCATTCACTAAGCTGGAAGTGGTCTTAAAGATAAGGGAAGGAATAGTCTATGAATTGGAGAAAGAGAAGCAAAATGTTGGAAAAAGGCAATTTTCCTGCCCTACAGAATGAAATATATTAGCTCTATACACCAAACATACAAACCAAACAGCTTATTATTCAAATTGTTCCCAAAGGAATCACTATAAGACACAAGTTAAAATATTCAGGCATGTTCTACAGTATCTGAAAAGGAATTTTTGAATGGTAATCAAATTTATGGATTAACTTCAATATTCCTATTATTTTTTTAAAAAATGGTATGTAACTTTATTACTAACAAAATATAAAACATCCAATATGACTAGAGTATTGCTCAATGTAAATCTACCTTTGGTCATGCAAGATTCCAGCTAAGATCAGAATGCAGCTCAATTTACAAGTGTTACATGAATCATTTCTAACAACATTTTCTATACATAACTTTGACTATTAAAATTCTGCTTCTCTAATCAACTCCTACCTAATCATGTCTTCCAAAAGCTGTTTGTCATGCTGAATCCACTGGAATCAGGTGCAGGAATAACAACCCCTTGTTTCTGCAGTTCACGTAAAACATCTAATATTGAATCCAATTCCACTCGAAATTTCTCCAGTTCTTGATTCTTCTGCTGTACCAATCTTCGCCACTTCTCAGCCTCGTGGCTTTGCCTTGCTTCAGTAATGTACTGGGTTAGTTGGGCTGTCTGCAAATTAGAAGCAAGTCAGTATTGTGACTTCCTAGCCCCGTACTTGGCCATTGTGGCCCCTTTGCAAAAATACACCATTGCATTATATTTGATGCTCAGTCTCAAAGCTTAATGCTCATGTTAAGTGGAAACAATTTGTCTTGAAAATTAAAAAAGTCATTCTGCTAGCAATGAATTCCTTTAAATATTTGCATTAATGACAGAAGGGTAGAATCCATTATCGACTAATGAGCCCCATGAGAATTTAATTTATCATCATCTCCAAAGCAGCAATTAAAGGCTTGAATATTTAAGACAAAACTAAGCACACAACACAAATCCCTCTAATCAAAATTAACTTTTTTAATTGACATTTAAGTATGTTAATTAAAAGAACACTCTGGAAGAGAAACAAACCAAATCTGGATGACATGTTGTAGGCTACTACTGTACTTTTAAAAACCACAAGTCCTAATTATCAGAAAATTTGCTGTACCCACAAAGATCTGAGGCTGCTGCAGTTAAAAGTCTGAATTAACTTTGACATGAATTCATGGCATAATCCTGTTTAATTACCCCAAATAAAAAGTGTCATAGGGTATCAAAATCTCCACACCACTACTAATTTAATAGATTCTCTACAGAAAAGCTCTATCACATAATTATCATATTTGCAGTTTGACACTAAGGATAACCTGTTCATTCCCTGCTCAGCAATCACCTTTTCCATATTGTTCATACTCTTACCATTCATTTGGGGGCCTGTTTGGTGCCCCAGTGCAGATGGTCAAAAGTGCAAAACTAGGATAACCAGAACCCAAAACAAGGCCAGCAGCATCAGGAAAGATGAAATTACTCAGTAGTAATTGTTATGTGTACTATTATTTCTCCATTCTAAAAAAACCCACATTACAAAACATCTTAGTCAATACAGCAAGTATTCAGTGGAGATACCTCACGGAGTAGGCAGAAACAAACACTCTACAGAAATGGTAAAGAAGTTCTCACATTATACAAAAGCAAACAAATTGCATAAAAATGATCTGCATTGCAGTTGCCTTTAGCAGGACAGAATGTGAACAAAAATAATGAAATCATCACTGGCAGCAGGGTTTGTTCTTAATCCAATGACTTGTTTTATGCACAGCTCTTTTTGGAAAGAAAATTTAATATTTGATGTAGAAATGTATAAGAATACAACCTTCTACCACAAAAGAACTGTATATAAAAGTGTATTCCTTGAGATCTGGTTTCAAAATTGTAGAACAAACCGCACAAACTAAGAACTAGTACAGGTTTGATGATCTTCCTGTCTAAGTGCCCTTCTTTGACTTCATGTATTTAAGTAAAACCTAAGTTAAAACTTAAGTAAAAATACTAATGAAAGACAGTCATATAATTAAGTGATGAAAGTGTTGAGGGGAAAAAAAAAAAATCTGTATGAACTGGGAAACTTTTTCCAGATGACAGAATCTCCCCTGACAGATGAGAAATTAGGATGCAGATCATGGCACAAAGATTTTTTTAAAAAAAAAAAAAAAAAAAAATCAATGCAAAATTGTTTTACCCATTCAAGCCACAAACAGCTCTGTCACAAAGATCCAACCTTCAAACACCGAAACTTTTCGCTTGTGGAGGAAAAAGGCCTTTTTTTGTTGTTTGGAGTATTAAAACCAGTGTGTGGTAGACTGCTCTAAGATGTTTCTGTACTTCTAATGCAGCTTTTCTGAACAGGACAGTCTGCTAGGACTAGAAAATTACAGTTCAATTGAGGAATACATCACAGCTTAGCAAACTGCATTACAAGCTCTTGTCAGTTTTCCAATAGTTTGCTTTCATTATGTAACCGAAATACAAAATAACCAACTGATAAAGGGACAGAGGTCATGTGGTCCCACTCTCTGCCACAGCAAAGCCTCCTTAGATAAGGGTGCAAGGAAGTTACATGAGTGCACAAGTGTTCTTAATTACCACAGCAAGGACAAGCTGACCAGGACTGTGTCTACATTCACTTGCATCACCAAGCAACAGAGACAAACCCATGGCTGCATGACAAAGTACTTGCCCTCCTGCAGTGTGAGCTAAATGAGCCTGTGCAAATACCATAAAATTACACTTAAACCAAGAAATTGCTCTTGAGAAGTAAATGCAGATCTGCTCTGGTGTACCTTTTGAATTTCTTGCTCTCTTTCTGCCTGTCTGGTCTCTATGTGCTTGATTTTCTTTTCCAGGCACAAGAAGTGCTTCATTTCAGGCCTCTGGCTCTCCTTAGCCTCTCTCAGTTCTTCCACCAATTTTGTCACCTACAAAAGAATTGAGGAAAATTGTTCTCATTGTGTTAAGCAGTGTATAAAACAGATTCCTTTCAAAATGCATTTGCATAGCTTAATCATTCCATTCAAAAGCTGCAGAGAGGAAGACATAAAAGAGAAATCTCCTTTATTCAAAAGCTTTAACAAGGGTTCAGAGACTTTGATTAAGATTTTTCATTCCCAAGAAGTGGCCTGAAGTCTAGTCCTCTTTGATAAATCCAATCCTATTCATAATATGTTGTTAAGTGGTTGTAGTCAGTCAATTTTTTTATACTTTGTACAAAAAAAAGTAATAGTGAATGTTATGATTAGATGTTCTTACACAATCTCTTGTCACACCCTGGATAAAGACCAATTATAAAATATACCAGTGTATTTCTAAGGAATAAGCCAAGGAAAGACATACTGGTAACAGACATGACTACAAACCTCCTTTGGTCTAATGATTACCAGGTCAAATCAACTCTATTAATGACTTTAAACTGATTTCCAAATCCTCCAGGAAAGTCAGGTAAGTTTTCTTATAAAGCCCTACTGGTTAATTCTCATTATTTGCCTATTTTAAGTACCTTGCTATTTCTTCATTTAACATCCCAAGTATTTTTGGTCACTCTTCATGTGTGTAAGTGATCTAAAGTGAAAACTTTGAAGTGTTTATCTTTGAAGTGGTTATGATAACCCTTAACTCCCCTTACCCAATATATCTGAGAACTGCTAACCCTCTTCAAGCACTCAGCCATCCTTGGCTCTCTGCTGCTGAATTTAAGTAGCTGCAAGCATTGTGTCTAGAGAAGATACTGTCACTCTTACTGAGAAGTGGCTCTGAGATGGCTTACTATTATTTCTGTATTTTAAGGTGGCTTTCTGAAATACCACAGCCTATATTAGTACATTTTTGCCTGGCCATTAATTACTCCAGCAGCCTTGAACCTGTGGACCAAGTTCAGCCACATTTGTCAGAGGAGCGTAAGTCTTAGTTTCATAGTGTCTGTGAAACAGTGTGTGCTGCTGGGCTGCTAAGTTACCCCACTGAGGGGAAGGGCTGATGTGTGATCTCAAGAATATAGCTAAATATAATACAAAAATAATGCAGGGAATATGTTATGAGGGGGAAAAACCCCAGGAGAAAATGGGCTCCTTGGATTTTGCCAGCAACAGAACTATGTTAAATACAAAGCTGTGTTACAATGCAAACTGTTATGGAAGAGAAGTACATAGTTTATGGAAAATCTCCATAAACTGCAATTCTGAAATTAGTATTCAAATAACAATCTTCCAGGAAGCCTCGAGGAATAAATTTGCCTTTTTTTAAGGTACCATCATTTTAGACAGATGACTCAGTCCTGTTACCAATGACAGTGCTTCTCCCTGTCATGACTAATTCCATTTGAACTATCATGACTAATTTCCCCAGGTTTGGTTGTCTTCATTTTTCAGCTCAACTTACTTAACCATTTAAAGCTTAAGATGTATTCTATAAGCAGCACAGCAATCATGCTGGAGGGCAAAAGCAAAGCTTTCCATGGACGTTTCTCTCTGGACAGTCTTGCAATGATTTCTGTAACTAAGACACTCCTTTACATTTTCTTAAATGCCCCTTGAACTTGGCCTGTAACATGTGGGTCAGATAGGATGATCACTCTCTTAAACCATCACTCTCATTAATAATCTGCAAAGCAGCCATAGAGGGAACAAATGAATAACATTTGTCTCATTGAACTCTTGCTCTGTTTTCCCTGGAAGAAGTGTTACATATACTGAGATCACTGGAATGAAACAAACTTTGTTTGAAAAGGCAACATCTATCATTAGATTCATAATATGTACCCAAAGTCTCAGCCTTTACTCTGCAATCACAGAGCTTGTATAATAGAACATATTTTTTGATAAATGCTGAGTGAGTTTAGTGAGATTAAGATTGATTTTAATAACCCTTGCAAGTTAATTATTGTATTATCGAATTTAAGTTAAAATTAGTCATGTTCATATATCAAGGATATGGTGAATTAAGCATAGACACAATGCTTAGACAGGCTACATCCTCCTCCTGAACAGGAAGTGATAACAAAGATTGGCAGGACCTCAAGAACAATAAAAGCAGAGCTAATAATTCAAAAAGCTTGAGCTAAAAGATGAACAGCAATTTCACACAACATTAACCCCAAAGCACAAATAAGAACAAGAGTAATTTTAAGAGTATATGCTATTAATAGTAGAAAATTAGAAAAAACCCCCTATATACCTCTCTCAGAACTCAGTGAACTACAGAAGAACTTTTACAACTAACCTTCCCTTCTTAAGAGACCTTAAGTTTCACAGATAGCAGAGGACAAAACCAATAATATAATTGCCCAAGTCAGTTTTATGGCAATGAAGGATGAAAAAATAAAGGCTTTATCTGAACAAAGAATTTGGAAACAATAAGAAAAAAAAAATCTTCTTAATAAAGAAAAAGTTCTGTGGTCTATTTACTACCCATCACAAATCTCAAAGAAGAGGCTATGAAAGCTTGGATTAAACTGCTGATCAACATTCAGACAGAAGTCAGACATTTCTAACAAACTAAACTAAAAATATTAAGAAAATTACAAAAAGGTCCAAAATTCTGCTTTCTGTTCTATGTTGTTCTCTTGCTCACATGAGAAAAACATATTGCATTCTCACGTATAACTGATGGAGAAGCAACTGACAAAGATACTGTTTCTAAGACTTATATTACTGTATATTATTTGAGGCTTTATGGGGATGAAAGTGAAAACTTTTATTAGAATAAGGTACCCCCAATCCAAATTCAAATATACCTCTTTTTGTAGGAGCTGCTCTCGGATCTGTGAAACTAAAAGGGCTTCCTGATGTCTCTGTTGTTCACCAATTTGTTCTTGAAGATGTTTTATTAATATCTACAAAAAGATTAAAAATAGCTTGCCGTTAACATAAATACCCATGACAACGTGTGAAAATCCATGCAGGAAAAGTACACCAAAAATAGAGTGTTGTAGTAGTGCAGGTGTTAAGTGCTGTGTGTATTAACAATACTGTCTCTAGCACATGTGCATGGTGTGCTAGTTAACAGTCCTCTACATGGACTATTAAACAGGCACAGGTACATATGTGGCGTACGAAAACGAGTCAATATTCAAGTCACTTTCCTCAATTCAAAAGGTTCTTAAACAATCTGAATGCAATAACTCTTTCCACCTTCATACTATGTGTAAAACTAAGCTCAGACTACAGAATCTCCCTCCTTGGAGATACTCAAAAGTCATCTGGACATGGTCCTGAGCAACTGGCTCTGGATGACCCTCCTGAGCACGGGGGTTGGAAAAGGTGACCTTCAAAGGTCCCTCCCAACCTCAGCCATTCTGGGATTCTGTGAATACAGTGCCACAGGACAATTTTTAAAACAACAGATCCCATTCAAGCTAAAGTTTATAGTAACACAGAAAGAAAAAACTTTAAGATATATCTGTATGTAATTAATATATCTACTGTATCTTACCTCTTGTGCTGAAATTCTGTTGTTTAGCTCAGCTACTTTAGAAGTAGAATGATCCTTTGCATGCTGGCAGACAATCTTCTCCACTTCCCTCTGATAGGAAGCTTTCAGAGATGCAATGTATTCTGCTGTGTCTTCCTGTATCCTGAATAGAGTGAGAGGAAAATAGGATGTAGTAAAGCAGCTACAGACAGTTCTTTCAGGTATCTAGTTCAGAACAGAATGTGTTGCAACCTTAAAATGCTGCTTTCCTCTACTTCAAATATGAAGGGATCTCAAGTGAAGTATAATGTTTCTACAGTTGGTCAAATAAAACCCTCTGAGAGTAAACTCCAATTTGAAGGAAAGTATGTGTACCAAATATTAATGCTATACAACACAAAGCAACTGAAATATAATGATTTACACTAAGATACTTTTACTCAGAACCATAACAAATTGTAGCATTCATAAGAGGATTAATACAGGTTTGCCTGTAGGAAGAATTGTGACAGAGCACTGATTAAAATAACAAACATTTAACAAAAAGAAGCCAAACAAACAAACAAAACCCAAATCCAAACAAAACCCCTCCCAAAGCCAGAAAACAAACAGTACAAATGAAATTATAAACTAGCTTCACACATGGCTGATATGTTAATGTGACACTTCAATTCTGTATGAGCCAACACTTGAACAAGGCTTTTAAAGGAACATGCTGAGCATTTACCTTCGGATGTTATTTTCAGAAAAAGCCAGTGCAGCTTGAGACTTCACTCGCTGCTGGCTCATTTCTAGAGACAATCTCTCTAGCTCCTCTTTCAGCTTTGCATTTTCTTGCAGAACTTCCAAGAGATGAGAGTCAGAAAAGGTATCCGGTTGGTAGACTTTGCCATCATTGAAATTGCTTAGAAAGGGTTCACTGTTGCCAGAATTCCTTTTATCTGTTGCTGAGGTATTTGTTTTCAAGACTTCTGTAGAGCTGCCCTTATTATTGGTTTTATTTCTCAAATTATTATCGCACAACATCACCATCCTTTCTTTCTGAAGTTTCTCTACAGTTTTTGTAAGATCTTGTATCTCTCTATTTTTGGTGACCAGTTCTTCATTTAGTTTTAACAATCTGTCTTTTGTGTTCCCATGTTTCATTTTAGAGTCTGTGGATGCCAGGTCTTTATTATCATTTTTACCTCTGAGTTTTAATTGGGAATTTTGGCTTTTAAGATTTTCAATTTCTGTCTGGAGGTTTCTAACAGTGGTCTGATGGGTCTGCTTTAGATTCTGAAGCTCCTGTTCAAGTTCCGTAGAAGTGGCTTTATCATCATCCAGGTTTGGTGTTTCACTCACAAAGTCATAGGCGAGTAGTTGTTCAAGCTCTACAAGTCTTTGCTCATACTGTAACTAGGAGGGGAATAGAAAGAAGGGAAGAAAATGCAGTTTATTCAGTGTACTTTTGTTATTAGCTCTTTCTACTATTCTTTAAAGTTACTGCACATCTGATTTCAGGAGACAGGATACATATCAGCATTGCTAACAACACTATTACAGTTCAGGTATCAGTGAGTGAAAAAATTAAGTCTGCTCTAAAAGAGATTTACTCAAAACATTTACTACAAACTATGGGATAGAAAATTATATTGACAAGAAACTATTTTGTTTTTATATACTTGAGTTCCCTTCAGATGTTACTCAGAAAGGCAAACATCTTATTTTGCTGTAGCAAGCAGTAGTTAATTTTGTCATTAGGTATTTGCCACATGTCAGTTTGCAAACAATACTGTCATATGCTAAAAAACGTAGTTCAGCTTTTGCAAAACATCTTAAATTTTAACAGAAGATATTTTTATTTATTTATTTAGAAGTATAAATAGAGAAGTATGAATCCAGAGGGACACAGAATCTTTCTTCCTAATGAGCTGAGGAAAACCTAACCCTTCTTAAGAACATGGACAGCCTCTGAGGAAAGCATGAAGAATGATTCACATGGAGAAGAGGAGGAACAACTGGTCAATAATTCTTTCCTTCTCATTAAGCACCTCTGCAGTTCACCCTTTCCTTGAAGTAGAATTCCAGACTTCCATGCTGCCAAGCACAAGTCTTAGGCTCGATACCATGCAATTTCTGGATAGAATGTTTAGTGTTCTCAGCCATTCCCTACAGAAATGCTCAGTCAGCAGACTGAAACCACAGCCTTTAGTACTGCCAGGAATTAAATATGCACCCACTGTGACCCACAGGGTGAAAACCACTTATTTTAATTGTAATTAATTGTTATGCCTCAAGAACTTGTTCTCTCAGTTTCAATACCACTGTAACAATTTTAACACTCTTTTTATCTTAAGTCCTGAGGATACTGAAATTCTGATTATAAATTCTTTGAAGATTTTTTTTCCTTGACTATGGTCTTTGCCTTCAGTTTTCACTACTACCCTGTTAGACCCCAGTTACCTTGTGACTGTTACTTGCAAAGGCTCCAACTTTTACCTTTATTTTTTGAAACTGTTGTTCCATGGCACGGAGACTTTTCTTAGCTTCATCATCTTTACCTTCAAGTTCTGTTTCTAATTTCTTTATTCTTCTCTCCAAAAATTCAACTGTGTTTGTTTTAGCTGAAAGATCATTAGCTTTCTCAGCAGCAGCAGCAGCATAAATCAAAGCAGGCAAAGAATTTGGATACCTCCTTTTTAGAATTCCATCCATTTCTCTGATCTATCAATAAGAAAATAAAGTCAGAAGTCAAAAAGAGTAAAGTTCTAATGAAAAGTGAACAGAAATAAGTGACAGAATGTGAACAGATATCATCTACTTAAGCTGGGGGAAGAATGAAAATTAGAGATGCATATATTGAAAACTATTTTGCGTAAGTTCAGGGCTTACTGAACACAGAAGGTGTCTTAGAAGATAAACAGCAAACTTAGGCTTTTTCCCTCTTGCCCCTTTTCTAGAAACTCTAAACAGTATTTTAAAAGATATCAGTAAATAGCTTATTAGAACATAGAAGGAAGAAGAGCTCTTTGCAAGTAAATAATTGCAGCTTTATGTGTTAAGAGTGTTCCATAACACAAGTTACTTTACCATAGGACTTCAATCAATGCTTTATCCTTAAGAAAGCACTGCTAAGTGTTTTAAGAGATCTTATCTAAAACAAAGTTTATATGAAACACAGTTCTATTAGTGCATACTTGTCGCTCAAGATCCTGAATTCTTTTAGCATCTGCTGCTCTGTCTCCTGAACGTTTCTTCTGTTGCACAGACTGAACTCCTGCTTCAGCTCTGAGCTTCTCAACCTAGCCAATTTAGGGGAAAATAAATTGAAATGCATATTCAGAGACATTGTCCTGTAATACAAAAACAATTCAAGCACACAAAATGTAATGGAGGTATTCTGCCACTTCAAAACTGGTAATGGTATTTTCTGTACTGATTCCTCAGGTTCATAATTTCTGTGACAGCTTCGTTAAGCCATTTAAGACCAAAGGAGCTGAAACCACTTATGGAAACCCAGATGATAAATTCAGCTCTGGGACATTCTTGTCTTCAGAAACTTTTTCTCTGATACTTCCAGTATGCAAGCTTGGCTAATAAGCTATAGTACTACAGTGTATTCCATGAATTCAGGGTGAGTTTGGGAAACAGTTTGTGACTTGCAGGGCTGTGCTCTGTGATGAGACATTAGAAAAAGCCAACAGATAACGTTATATTGTGCCTAAATACATGCTGACTCCCAGAACTGGGGGAAGGAACTGGATAACTAATGCTCCTGAACTCGCAAGAAATCTGCCCATGAAGAGTCAAATCCATAATCTAAAATTGAATTTCCCACCTTTATCAGCCACTATGATCTCTGCACAGCGATATTACACCCTGAATAGCAGGAAGAATTCCGATCTTGCTTTCTCTCTCACACTGGCAATGTTAGCATAAGTAATGCTTTTATGCCAGCACAGTTTGACTCATCTGATTGTTTCTACAAAGTCAAACCTCTCCATTGTTTTTAAGCACCAGTACATCCTGGAGAACACGCAAATAAAAATATTTTCTTTCACAGCAATGATATATTGATCAAAGTTTGCTATGGTGATCTTTAAGGGATCTCCTCCAGAAGCATCTCTTTTCGTCTCTCATCTCTTTAATAAAACACCATGAAAAAACTTCAAGATCAATTATATTTTATCACTGGTAAAATTATTTATTTCTGTGAATCCAAAGTCAAATGTACTGAGAGCAAGGCAAGGGAAATTTCAGAACCATTCAAGATTCATGTATCACTTCTGTTTGATTTGTATTTCAGGTGTTTTAGCTTTTTCTTTCCTACTATAGCAACCAGAGATTTTTCCTAAGAAAGAATTTAGAACTGGTACTTAAGAGAAAAAAAGAGTGTTGCCTATGCTACCACAGGGCAAAAAAAGGAGGAAAGAGAATGACAAGAGGCATGTTCCAAGTTGGAAATGTAACAATGCACTTCTTTTTCTTAGGCAAGAAATTTGCAGGTTTTAAGGAAGCACATTACTTTTGTTTCCAGAAGCACCAAGATATATAGTAGTGCAAACCTAGCTTTTAAGCATTCTGCACTTGTAACTCTCACTGCATATGCACTAATACCAATTTTGCATATAAAGACTCCACATTTGATTTAAAGGTTCTAAAGAGTTGACATGTCTTTTCCTGGAAAAAAATGGGATTATTATGACAGACAGAATTATGCTATACTCATCACTATAAAAAGAAACGATTTCAAGTTCCAACTTCTTAGATATAGCTAGATTTTATCACCTCTAGTCTTAGCTTCTCAATTTCTGCTCTTGCATCTTTAAGACGAGCTGCATCTTTATCCAAAAGGTCTTGATTTTCTGCATACCACTGAAGTCTTTTTTTTAAGTGAGTAATTTCCTGTTTGTATGAGTCTTCCATAACTTTCAATTCATAAGACTTCTCACCTACAAGAATAAAACATCTTTACTATTGTTTCATTAGTAATTATGCACTGAAGGAATAATTAGACAACACTGTCCTCCCCAGCACATTTCATACATTTACTCCTTTGACAATCCTGTTACTGCAGTAAAGTTTTAAAACCAGACCCTAATTAGGATTCTAAAAGCAATAACATTTGAAAAAAACTCTACTTTTTTTCTCTCATACATAGTAGGACTCAGTGGCTCACAGTTCACCATGGTAAGTATTTAAAACAGAATCTCAGGCAGATCTATTCTTGATCATAGTCTGGTAAACAAACTTTCAGCATTAAGATGAATGACAACATAGAATATATGCTTAGATGTGTATTGATCATACCCTTCCCCTTTAGTGATCGAGCATTTTGAGAAGAGACATGGAGGTAAATATTACTGCTTTTAGCACTTGTGATATCAGAAGTGAGAGAGTCCAATTTCTGGACCTCTCTCATTAACTGAAACTGAAAAAACTTCTGATAAGAATGTTAAAGAAAGTCCCAAGACACAAGTTATAGGTAAAAAAAAAATGGCAAGATCTAAATGGAAAGACTAAGATGTGACACTGTAAATCTTTTCTTATCAACAGTTATCATATAAATGGAATTATCTGTTTTCCATGCCCAGTGAAAATTGGGCACAAAATCAAATTTAATAGGCAACAACAAAAAGTTTGGTTGGATACAAGAAAATGCTTTCTAACAGAGTGCCAAAAGTACTCGAGCATATCCTTCACTGCATGCTTTTATTAGAAGTTTAGACAGTATGTGGAAATGGCCTAGATGCATTTCACTACACAATATTTTAATAAGAAACAGGTTTTAGTTACATAAATATTTAGTCTAGTGCAGAGCAGGCAAAGTTATTCAACAAAATGAAGGTGCTTTACTTGATGCAGATGCAATCTGGACTTTTGCTAAATCTCTCTCCTTCTTTGCTTGTACCAAGTCTACCTCAAGAGCTTGCTTATCTTGTTTGAGATGTCTTATCTCTTCCTGTAATTTAGTTTCTTCCTTCTGGGTTTTAGGAAAAACAGTAAAACAAGAAAAAATAAACATACGTTGTCACACAAAAAACCTGAACATGTTTTTTCACCATAAAATGATTAAATCACAACAGTTGCATCAGACCACAGCAATGATAAGGCCTTTTAATATTGCTATTATTCTCAGGCCTTGCTATAGCAGAGCATGGAAAAACTTTATCCAAACCTTAAAAAAACACCAAACAAACAGCATATTTAAGTCTTACATAACTCGTAGAAGTAGAAAATAGAATCAACTGGGTTGGACAAGACCTCAAAGATCATCAAGTCCAACCCTACAGTGGTTACTAGACCATGTCACTAAGTGCTTGAAAACCTCCAGGGACAGTGAATCCACCACCTCCCTGGGCAGCACATTCCAATGCCTGACTACTCTCTCCTGTTTTTGGAGAGGGTTAGTAAAGCAGCACCTCTGAGGTCACTAGAGAAGTCCCTGGAGTCTCAGGAGCTCAAAATCAGCTCTGTCAGAACAGGAATCTCTGCTGGTCCTGCAGCTCACAGGATCCAGAACTTCTTATCTGCTTAACCGGTTATTGGTTACAACAAACAATGAAAAATGCAAGAAGCAGGTTTAAATTTCTGGTCTAACTACTGGAGGAAGTATGTACCAGAACAGTCCCCACAGCAGAAGTTCCTGAAAACATTTCATTTTGCCATGACCTAAACACCCTTCCTCAAAACCAGAAGCATCTCTAGGACTACAAAGACAAATGAGTGAATGACCCTTTTTGCTCTGATGTATATTTCTAGAACTTACTTGGTACACAGCAGGGATAAGCTTTCTTCTGGCTTTGTCCTTTGCAGCAAAGCTATAGAGGTGTCACTAGTTTTTGAAAGCTCTTACTAGGTATTTTAGAATTGCCAGTAAATATGGCAACACTGCACTTCTTTTAGTGAACGTGTGTCATTGGGGATTACTTCTGAAAGTTTTTTTGATATTTCTGATATATAAATGCGGAAAACAACTAATGCTGTAGAAAAGTAGCATGCTCCACTAATTAATTTACATTAGTAGTCTACAGTATGGATGGTCATGTGTTTTTGGTATATACCTACCCGTGCTGCTCGAAGCTCTGAAATCAATTCTGTGAAACTCTGATTTCTGGCTGGTTCAGAATCCTGCACGATGTGGAACTGGTGATTAGCCTTCTCTATCTTTTCTCTAAACAGCAACAGCAAAACCAGTTATGCAATGCAGCAACTTGGCATGCTAAGTGTGGCAGACTGGAAAAGAAACACAACCAACCCCCAAAACGGTACCACTACAGTCTCATCCAAGATAATCTGTGCAGGCTCAAAACAAAGACAGAAGCAAATGTGCACTACATTTGTATACATGAAAAATTCACCTGTAAGGTGAGATCTTCTCACTTTGCATAAATTTATTTGTTGGGACTACACAAGGGAGGGAAACAAAATCTACTCTGCATCAGTGGAACTCACCTATGGGCCAGTCCAAAGCAGAGATTTGTAAATTAGGAGTACACATAACTGATAGGTTATTTTTCCACATTACTAGGACAGGATGCAAATCTTACAGGACCTACAGAGCAGTGAATTGAACAGTTCCTCCACCCCCAGGATAGGATCTCTTGTGCCCCGATCTACTGTGCACCTTACAACAGTATCAAAACATTTTGACCCATCATGAGAGCCATAATACTAGAACAAGTCTACTATGCATATTATGAATTCCAATATGAATAACAACATTGAAATATTCCCCAAGTGGAAGACTCTAGTCTTCCCACAGGTCTGCATCATCATCAAGAAGTCTAAGAATTAAGTGCCCATAGTCAGTATAAATCAATTACCAAAAGAAGAAACAAACCCAAAAAAAACCCACCAAAAGACATGCACCTGACAGACTCTGCAGTGGTTCTTCATAAATAAAACAGTAAACAGCTGAAAACTCCAGAGATTTTTAGGTCAGATATGTAAACAAACCTACCTTAGGTCTATTAATTCAGCCATTAAACACTGATTCTCCTTATACATTTGTTCCTCATTTCTTTTGTTTTGGATCTGTAGCTCTTTCATTTGTTTGTATAACCTCTCATTTTCCTAAGTTGAGACAGACAAAGTTAAAGAACATTCATAAATTACTGTTTTCTCCAGTTCTAAAACAATTCTTTGTGACTTGCACAGTTTGCCTACTGAAACAGTGGAAGCAAACACTGAATGTTTCACTACTAAGCTTCTAAAATTGCTATCTACTTTCATTATTTTTATGCTAGTGACCACTACAGTCTCATCCAAGCATCTGCTCACTCTGGACGACCTAAGCCAGTTCCTCTCCAAAGCTATCCCAACTTTCACACCCATCCTAAAAGCACATTCATGAGTGGGTGCTGAGTGGTAGAGCTCAGGCTGCCCATACTCCAATCCTGAGGACACAAACCATCACTGATTTGGGATGTTCACAGCCATGCAGGCAAGACATTGTGTCTCTACCAAGAAATGCTGCTGAGCAGCAGCTGGAAGCTGGTTAAACTAAACCACTGGATTTTACATCTGCAAGTATTCAAAAGGACTACTAAGTCTGCATTATCTATTTCCACACTTGAGTGTAGAAATATTATTTAAGTAATAAAAATCAGCCACACTGATAATGTTACCTTGAAATCTGCTACTCAGATCTTCAGAAAAGCATCTTAAAAAGAGAACACTCCAGATTTCTAATACTGCTCAAAAATACTACTTTTCTTCTACATTTGGAGCAAAAGGTCTGTGGTTTTTTTATTGGCCATGAAGTATTTTCCCAGTTCTCAACTGACAAGTCAGTGATTTTTACAATTTAGAAGGAATTTACATGGAATTGTGGAAAAACTTAGCCCAAACTAGACACGTGTGAAATACTTTCTAAACATGCAATATGTTTACCCTTCACCCCCAAATTTCATCTACTTTTTAAATAGCAAGATAACTATTTTCAACAGAAAAGTAGAACCACTAAACAATTTTGTTTCTGAAACTGGCTAGAACACAGCTCAATATACTGTGTGGTATACCTGTTGATAACCTTGAATAATGACCTCTTGATCTTCAATTTCTTTTTGTATTTGTGCCAGTTTTTCTTCAGTTACAGGAACTGTTGCTGCATGGTGACTCAACCTCTTTTCTTGAGCCATCTCTTCCATACTTCTTAACTTCCAGAACGAAAGAAACACACACATAAGCAGTAAGAAAGTTCTGTTAGCAATATGGAATTTTCTACAAGACCACATTTTTGTAACGTAAGTAATTCAATCTCTTCATTACGATATGAAAACAGACCAATGAGCCAATCTTATTATTGGAGTTTTGCAGAACCATTATGAAACAGAAACAAAGTATAAAACATTTGGGAAAAGTTAAAGTTTTACGCTCCTGTTCTTCAGTGTATCTAGAGGGAATATTTCATAGAGACAACACACAACATTGAAAAATGCATCTAAAACTATAAAAAATATTCCAACATATAGTAGTTATCTATAACAAATTGTATTTCTACATCAAGAAGAGTATTGCCAGCAGGCCAAGGGAGGTGATCCTGCCTCTCTACTCAGCCCTTGTGGGGCCACATCTGGAGTAGAGTATTGTGTCCAGGGACATGGAGCTCCTGGAGCTGGTCCAGTAGAGAGCAACAAAGATGATTAAGGGACTGGAGCACCTCACTTAAGATGAAAGGCTGAGGGAGTTGGGTCTGTTCAACTGAGAGGGGAACCTCACTAATGTATTCAAGTACATGAACAGCAAGTGCCAAGATGATGGACCAGATGCTTCTCAGTGGTGGAAACCAATAAAACAAGAGGCAACAGGCAAAAACTGATGCCCAGGAAGTTCCACCTGAATATGAGAAATAAGTTCTTTACTGTGCAGTCATTGAGCACTGGAACAGACAGGTCATGGATTCTCCCTCACTGGAGGTATTCAAGAACTGTCCAGACACAATCCTGAACCATATGCTCTAGGGTGGCCCTGGTTGAGTAGGGAGGTTGGACCAAATGACACATTGTGGTCCCTTCTAACCTAACTGATTCTGTGATTCTATATCTGTTAACCTCTACAAGACTGAGTTAATCTTTGCAAAAAACCTGCTGCAGAACTCTCAAAATAGGAAACTAATGAACTCAGGATAAGAGTTTATGTCAGCAGAAGAAAAAACTCATGTATACAGGGAATAAATGTAACAGCAGGGATGTATTTACAAAGTGCCTGTGCAAATCTGAATTTTATGTTCATTAGCAAGTCATGTAAAGTAATATTAATATTCAGAAGCAACATTTCTCCTTTCCTATAGGAACAGAGTACAAGATGATATAGTACCTTACTCAGAAGAACATAGTTTTCCTGACCCAGACGAGAAAGCTCTTTTTCATGCTGTGTTTTCAATTCTACTATCTTTGTCTCCATTTGTTTCTCAGTTTGTGAGACCTTGCTGCCTAGCTGCTGAATCAAATCACGAGCTGTGCTCAGGTCCTCCTCTGCAACTTGTACTCGTTTTAACAAATACAGGTCTCTATCGCAGCTCTTGGTAGGAGAAAATGATAAATCCTAGTGAAAAGAAGTAGTCAGGGAAACATTACACTGAGCTGATTCTTTACCAAAATTCTGCTCATCAATTTTACTTAACTGGCTTGTCTGGCTCCCAGCAACCACATAAGACAGTTGGAAAAAAAATACCCTAAAGATAAACACCCCAACATTCTAGCAGCAAAACATCCTGCATTTGCTTTAATGAGCTACATTCTCATGTCCAAAATTCATATGATGAAAACAAACCAAAAAACCAAGAAACGAATACCTCTCATATGAGAGCCACTACATTGCTATCAGAATTATTCTATTATGCATCTTACTTTTTGAAAAGCAGTAATTCTTTAGGTATTCAATGAATAATATTGTTATGCAGCTGATGAAGGAGAAGGAAAATCCATTACAGTACTCCAAATTCAGACATCTTGGAGAAGTCAGAAGATACTATTCAATATTTAATGCAATGCAAACAGGAAAAAACCCCAAACAGTAGTACTGTTTAACATTCATAACAGAATATTTTAAGCAGAAGATTTATTCAATTTTATATTACCACAAAATTGTAATTTTTAGAATTTAATAAGCAACTTTAATTTTATAGAACTACCTGAGCAACAGCATTAGCCAAGCAACTGAAAAGCAGTATGATTATACTTGCATATTTTAAAAACGAAAACTAGTGGTTTGACCAAAGGGAAGTCTTTATTAGATACTTCAGTATTTGCCAATCTTGTGATAAATGTTAAAAGTCTGACAAAATAGGCCTGCAAACCAAATTGTATATACTATAATGAGGAGCATCACTGATTATCACTTACATGCTGATGTTGCCTGTTGTAATCCACAGCCTGGTGTCCAACATTATTAACAACTGATTGGCCAGACAAAACTCTGTTAATACTTCCCTCCAAAGTAGGTTCATTTGTTGCAGATCTAATTATCCTAGTAGCAAATAAGGCTTCTTTGTATAGGCAGAAAGTAAAAGAGAGCAAGGTTAAAGTAAGAATTCAATGTCCTTTCAGAAAAAAATCGTATACATTTGATTCACCCCTTAGGTATATAAACTAAGTATTCTACAACCTGAATAAGTAAGGAACCAATGACAAGATAAAACTCAAGGGAACAACTGAAACAAGTAGCTGGATAATAAATCCCTCATGACACAAGGTTGACCCCAGTCCTTTGCTCGAGAAGTGGCCAGTTATCTGAGTATACACAAACACAACATATTTCAGACTATAGTGAAGTTAAGACATAGCAATTTTCAAAATGGACTTTGAAGTACAGACAGCATACAAAGAAATGCAACACTTATTTGTTGCATCAACTTGACTAGAATTAAAAATCAGTAAAGTCCCCTCTAGAGTACCTAACATACACAGAACTATTGACATCTCAGTCTTCTGAAATACAGACAGTAACTACAATTGCCATTTTATTTCTGCCTATAGCAATATAAGCAAAGAGCTCCTGCTTAGGAATGTTATACCTGAAAACAGACAATGATACTTTTCCATATTTAGTACTTTTTAACATGTCTTACACTATCCACTCACAAAGGTGCTTCTTTAGCACTGATGATTAGGAAATTGTCTGATTCATTGAATTCTCTTGCTAGCTATAGAGGCCCCTGCAGAATGCATCCTGGTGAGATTTATTTCTGAAATCACCTAAAATTGCTATGAGGAATGGCTATAGCTAGAGAGGGAAGAACATATTTGAATGAGGCCAGTGGTCTCACCTTCTTGGTACTCATCAATCACTTTACCGCCTTCATTAAGCTGTACAACCTTCTCTTCCCCAGGGAGTGACACAGCAATGTACTGAGGAGCTAACGTCCCTCAATTTGACTGCTGCCACCCAAACAACTCCCTAAGACAAGCAACATAATTCTAAACTGCTTTTCCCAGCACTGCTTGCAGGGTTTTTAAAAGCATTGCAAGCTAGAAGTGCACTAAAACCTGGGTATCTGCAGAGTTACGCTCCTGTGCCTCAGAGGCAGCAAACATTGTCTGCAAAGACACTAAGCTGAATTGTATCATGAAACTCTTCAGGCTTCACCCCAAAATAAAAAGGTTCAGTCCTTCACTTGGAACTCACTTTTCACAGGACTGCATTGGTATCCTCCTTTCCACAGTGTTACAAGAGAAATTAACAGAAAATAATGCTTTTTACTACTTTCTTTGTACTTTAGGAAAGCAAAGATCAAAAGCAGCAGCTGAGAACAGAAATTTGGCCTCAAACACAGCAGTTAGTGTACCAGCAATTCTTTGCATTCTCTGTAATGAGAAGTGTCAATTTGTAGATATAAATTTTTGAACATGAGCTATTCCTATTGTTTTGGTCTTGCTGGTGAACAATAGATTAAGTCTCAAACATGGTGGTATATGTGAATTGAAATGGCATACAGTGCAAAGATTTATTCAGGAGTCTTTCTCCCAGCAGCTTCATACTGATACAGAAAAAACTTAGTGCTTAACTGAATTGGGGTTTAGATTTCTCCTGTGACATTTTCAATTTTTTTTTTTGTAATGTGAAGCATGAACAGTAAAGCTCTGGCTCTTAAAAATCAAGACTTCTTACAATAGAATTACCTTTAGATTTTGCTCTGTCTGCAGGACTTTTGGCTTTCATAAAGGTCTTTTTCAAAGTTTCTTTTGGTGTTTTCTTTTCGTTAACTGGAAACAACTGTTTTGAGAGTGAACTGGGTTTCCCATAGCCAGAACTTCTAACCAGCCCATGAGGACCATATGAAGGTTTCTTTTTATGTAAGGCTGCTGGACTTCTGATATTCTTGGATGGCACTGGTTTAGTCGTCATTGATTCTGATCTTTCATTCTTCAAGGAACAAGACCGAAGAACCTGTGACAGAACATACTTGTTTCAAACAAGTTTTAGGCTATACTGTAATCCAAGAGCAGCTTTCACTACTGAAAAATCATAGAACCAGTTACCAGAACTACACAGCTGTAAGACTCAGGGTGATGGGAAGCATTACTTTTAACCAAATTAGTAGTGTGTAATTTTGCAGAACTGTACTACTCCTGAAGTATATCTAGGGCAAGTATTTTGTACTGGCTCTGTTTATTTTTCTGGGAAATTGTATTACATTACAGGATCTTTTGGCTTACCAAAGCAGGTAACTCATGACTATAGGGCAAACACAGTGATCACAGAAATGCAGCAATGAAGAGGGGAATAGCGGCAGGCAGAGGAGCTCTGCCAACTTGATCATCAAAAATAGAGCACACAGGTCCCAAGACCAGAAAATGAAAACATTTAGCCTGTTAGCCCTGGTGGGAAATCCACCAGGATAAATCAGCCAAACCCCTCCTGCTGCAATGCCTTGGCAGACAGAAGAGGTGATTGCCTAAAGGAGTGTGAAGCTAATTTAGGGGATGCAAGGAGAAAAAAAAATCGGGTATGCAGGAAGAAGACTTGGAACTATGTAAATCTTATTCTGGAACATCTGAGAGGATTGTAAGAATGTGCAAAACATGGGAAAGAACAAAAACTACATAGAAGAACAAGACTGGTAAGCAGAGGGGAAAATCAGATTACAAAACCTGGTGACATGACCAGGTTTCTGGGTCAGTAGACTTGTCTGACTCAGCTGGACACTGATCACTGCAGTCCCTCCTGTATTCTTATTGCATTTCTAACTGTGCTTTCCTCTTTCATGTTTATACATGTCCCTCCAATGCTCACATGCTCAGGCTCATTACAAGCTTGAGCTGGGGACACGGAACTGCAGCAGCCTTGCACATGTTGGGCTGGGACAGGAAGAATCCCACTGGTCCCAAATTTCACTAGATTTGGCTACCTCTAACAAAAGCAATGGCAACACGAGAGTTTCACGAAAATGAGCAACAGTCTCTCAATTTCTAAACATCAGAGCATAATCAAATGACAAGCAGCCTAAAAACATACAGATTTAAAATGTATTTTCATATAACTAAAATATGGTTGATAATACTTACTTTTTCAGTTTTGCTGCCTTGTGAAAGCAGAGAGTCTTGGACTATTTTTTCTCTTAGTATATCAGGCTGCACTTCACTGGTCTGAATTTCTTTCTCAGTCACCCTCTGAAAGTTATCGTCACTCACACCTCTCTGTAGAAAGGTGCTTTCTTCTCTGTTAAACCTTTCAGATAAGTTTGTCTCCCAAACTGTGTTTCTCTGGAGGTCTTCAGAGGGCAAGTGGCTGATGAGGTCATTTGCTGTGCTGCCTACCAGTTTCACAGGACTACAAGAGAAAGGAGTAAAGTCATATATAATAAGACTTTTGCCCTGTGCTTTACTAAAACTCTGGAAAAAGAGGGCCATTTTTAATTTAGGTATCAGCTGTAAAGACTGCCTGAATTTCAAAGAGCTACTAAGCTTCATTTAAGAACTAGCTTGCAGATTTCCTCATACAGATTCACTCCCACACTGTGGAACAAGAGCCATTTCCCAGCAGTGACTGTTTTTGTGGAGGTACCAAACTCAACTACAAGCTGAACACCTGCAAGCAGACAGTTTACACTAATACAACAATGAACAGTAATTTCTGCTGGGTACAGCTACATGATAGGCTCCCCAAACTCATTTGCTAAGCATAATCTTTACTTCTGACAGTTCCAAGGCCTAAAATTTCTGCTCTAGACAAAACAGTTGGAGCAAACAAGAAGGAGGTATGAAGCACAGATTAATAAGAATCATGACAGTAGGCAAAGTAAGAGGATTTGATCTTTTAAGGAGGTTGGAGAGCTAGGATAGTATATGGACTGAAATGCATGTATGGAGAAGGGGAAAGAGCAGAAGACTAGGAAAGCAGAGATCCTAGCTGTGAGAGTGAGGAACACTCCTCCAAATGATTGGACAAACATCACTGCTTATCACTCAAATTAAGTTTGGGAATCCCTGGTCTAAACCTATTAACTCTCTATATTCATTTTACAGTTCACTGCAAATGCCATAATGCCAGTGCAAGACAAAGAAATTTCAGTATTTAATTAGGGCGAAAGACAGATGAGTTATTTATCAAGCTGTTTTTCACAAACAGTTAGTGGGTTTAAACTATTACAATTCTTAAAATGCATCCTGAAATAAATACCTTTCAGGCTCCACATCAAAACTTCTGATACTACATGAATGTCCTTTAATAGTTTTCATCAATTCTTCCACAGTAGGTAAATCTAATTAGTGCAAAATAAATAAAAGAACAACTTAGAAAAAGTATTTGTTAAAAGGACACTGAAAAATGTTTCATAAATAGAATATTAAGGATATTACTAGCTCACTCATTTTACATGTTTGTACAAGACAAGCTTTCCTTTCAGTTATTTACCTGATTCAACAGTTGACATGTTTTTTGACTGGACATCATTATTTTGTGACATGCTTTGCCCTAAGCCTTCTGAGACTGCCACTGTAGAATTGTGCAGTTTCTGCTCGTCAGTGTCTCCCAAAGACTGATCAACATGATGATATGCTTGTTGTAAAGCTTCAATCTCACTGGTGGTATGTCCATAGGAAGTGCCTGTGAAAAGTGCAGGCTTATGAGAGGCGCAACACTGAGACACAACTGGATGTTCTGCTTAGGAAACATCCCACTGGAGCCTGTGTTTCAGTCACTAGGTTGGTCTATTATGTGGTGCAAACAGTGATGTCAGTTACACACAAAAATATCAGTATCTCATTTTTACTATAAAAATAAACAATTGCAAAGTTAATTAGCACATACAAAATAGTCTTATCTACAGTTTGCATGCCTCTCCAACATCCTCCTGCACCCCAATATTTTATTAGTACTAAAAATAACAGCAGATGTGCTATAACTCTTATAATATATGCCCTCAGAGCCACATCCTGGATATAAGTGGCCTATATTGCAAAGTTTGATAGGATAATGTATTTCATAATTGTGTTCAATGCTGTCACAAGAAGAATTTTAGCTATGATTGCTGTGGTTTAACCCCAGCCAGCAGCCAAGAACCACGTAGCTGCTCACACTCCCTCCTCCCCCCTTCACCCAACCCGGAGGAATGGGAAGGAGAAAATAAAATATGTAGGTTGAGATAAGAATGGTTTAATAATAAAGAGCAGAATGAGCAAAAATGCTAATGGATAATGGAAAGAAAGTTAAAGGGAAAAAAACCACAAAACTAAACCAGGGATGCACAATACAACTGCTCACCATCCACAGACCGACACAACCCTGTTCCTCCCCCTGGATCAGATCCCCCTCCTGCTTATGTACTGGGCATGACGTGCCATGGTGTGGAATATCCCTTTGGCTAGTTCAGATCACCTGTCCTGGCTATGCTCCCTCCCTTCTGTACCTTCTCACTGGCAGAGCATGAGGCACAAGAAAGAAAATGTCCTTGATTTAAGATAAACACAACTAAGCAGAAACGAAAACATCAGTGTGCTATCAACAATATTCTCACCCTGAATCCAAACACTGCACTGTATCACTACTGAGAAGAAAAATTCAACTCCATGCCAGCTGAAACCAGCACAATGATGAATAAGCAAAGGAGAAGGTATGTAAATATGACACTGCAATGTCAAAAACTACATTACAATATCCATACTTTTGAAAGGCCTTTTTGGCAGAAACATGACTTTTTCCTGAAATACTTCCTTCTGCTTTCAAGAGCTGTTGCTAGAAGCCAAGAGCTTCATGTTCCCTGATAACCTCATAACAAATTAACACATCAGAGCCACCTATTCTAGCAAACTAAGATTTTGGGGTTTGAGTTTTCTTGCGTGGTATTTTTGTTGTTTGGGTGTTTTTTAAAGCACCCCTTACCTGCTTCATTCATTTCAATTCCACTGACTTCTTCAGGCTCATCACGTTCACCTGGAGCTATGTCTGATGTTTCTGTGGCTTTCTGAAGTTCTGTAGTTGAATCTTGTGAATCAAGTAACACAACCAAACCCAAGAAGATAAATGGTAAAGAAAACACAATTCTCAAGTTTATACTCTGTCACGCTGGAATTAGAAGTATCCCAGAGCTTATCTTGAGGTCCAAAGCATACAAAAAATACTATACAGATTATTCTAATGCCATTAATGGTAAACTAATGAATTCTGATTGCAAGCATCAAAATCTCAGTTCTGACTAGATGTAATAAATATAAAATTGCATTGATAATCACTTTGAAGTGTTAACCTGTAGATTAATTTTTAACTATTTTAATCCAACAGATTTTCAGTAGAACACAATAAAATCAAGTGATAAAATAGTAAAAATCAGGTAAGCAAGTTTCAAAAAGTTACATTTAGTCTTCTCCTACTGATCAAAGTTTATCTTTTACCTTTAGCCAGCATGCCAGTGTTTGCTTCTTCCTAACAAAAATAAAGAAATAAAAATCCTTTTGAATTTCACAGAAAAAACCAAGAAATTGGACAAACTTTAGAAGCTGGTTCGATACCTGAAAACAGTTTTTAGAACTCATAACTAAGCAGTTCTTTGTGCTCCAAGTATATGCAATTCTCTAAAACCCTCCTTAGGATTGAAGGCTCTTGACATCCTGTTCTCTATAAACCTTCTCACAAGTGGTCAGGAATTAAATCCTACTCTGCATAAATGGCACATTTTTTGCACCTTCCTGGTTTTCTTTTAATGTAATTTGAGAAAAGCAAGTAAAGCAGCAGTTAGCACATTACATTTCCATTTTATTTTGTCTTCTCAAACCTTCATTAGAAATACTACTCTAACAAACTTGCTTAAAAAGAATTAAAAAACACTTTACTGACTGAAGATGATTATGTCATATTTAGTAAAAAACCCAAATCAGAACGTGTGCTCCAGGGATACACCTGTGTGCTCCAGCCACACATGCTCCACATTGAAAGACCTGACTAAGCTTGTGGACAGCAGCTCCCCCAAAGCTCATACAGTGCAGATTTTGGTTCCTCTATCCAAAATGCTTCTTTGTACAGAACTAGAACTACATGTATCAGCCTGTGCCACTTGCTGGCGTAGATACCACCTTAATAGCTCGGAGAGTGATAAAACACTACCCATTCTGAAGCAGAAGCTCCAGCCTGAGCTCAACATTTGTGCACTCCCAGCCACAGTTCTTAACTCACACGAGGAGTAAGCAGCAAACCCTGTGACAACTTATACTTTCCTGTAATAAATCACTAAAAGGGCTATATCCTTAATAGAAAGATATAGTCCCAGGACCTCTATATTCTTTCAGACAGTACATATTATATGAAGGTTTACCATATTTACACTTATACATTGCAGAGCTTTTAAAATTCAGGCAAGTAATACTAAACACTTGGTAAATTATACCTGTTTCTGAGGACTTAAATCAGCTTCTGACATGGCATTTTGATTCACCTGACTTCCCTCAGATTTAAGGGCAGGATTATCATCTGTTTCTTCTTCAAAATCTTCACTGTACCTACCTGAAGAGGTAAATAAACATCAAATAAATTGAATATTCAAGGAAGATAACGCAGTAAGCCATTTCCTTTTCCCCAACATATCATCTAAGAACAGCTACTGCTAGTGTCACTCCTTTTACAAAGGCAGCAGAAAGATTCCAAGACTGGGAGCAGTACTGAAACTACAGTGAAAGTCACACACATCTCTACATTCAAATCAAGTTTGTCTTATGATCAGATATGCTTTACCTCTACCTCCTCAAGCTGTACTTGAATTTACCCCTTTTATTCAATCGCTTTCTCTCACACAGGGGTGAAATAATATAAAACCCACCAATTAGATAAAGTACTTTGTACATCCACTTTGACAACTCCAGCAGTTTTTAGGCTCAGAATCTGCAATTCTGCCTCTTCTGACCTGCTTTGCTGGGCCATTAGCCACTCTCAAGGGTAAGAATTATTTAAAAACATAAGTGTATCAGAGAATGAACTTGACAAGCAAGCCAAATGCTTTTCCTTCAGTTATCCAGATCCTTGTACAAGTTTCAGTTCCCTTTTGCTACATCTCTCCCACTCACCTCCTGTGGTTACAGGACTGAGTGTCTGCATTACCTGTAACACTTAAATCTAGAAGCATTGCTAAACACTGTCTTAGAAGGTGTTCTCTCTGTGTTTTGTCACCAATACAACTGACACACAGTTTAACTCATATGTTACTACTCTATGTTACATACATTCAGTACTCTATGAAAAAGTCACTGTTTTGGCATTCTCTTTGGTTTTGGACCATGAGAAGTCTAATCAGCTGAAAATAGCTTTCTCATACTAACTTAATACGTACACAGTGCTTATACTACTCCTGCAAGCCTATTATCCACTATTTCAATTGCTGTTTCATGCAATTCCAGTTGGACAAAGACTAAACCAAGCTTGCACAACACACAGAGTGATGGTTCCAGGTATTCCATAGCAACAGATTTCCTAAAAATGAGAAGTCTCAATTTCATAAGAGTGACCATAACAATCAGGTAATTTCAACTGTTTTGTGAGGAAAAAGTCTACAAAATTGCAGCAGCATTTCTGCTACAGAGTAACCAAGCTTTCAAGAAGAAAAGATTTCCTGTGTTTATGATTTCCAAATACAGGATCTGCATGTTGGGAAATTCAAGCCTGACAACAGGATCTCTCAAAATTTCAGCTGAATATACAAATGTGAAAATACACACTCTATCATATTATAGAAATGAAGTGCGAAATAAAGAGTGAAAGACAAATAAGCAAGATGGAAGGAGAGCAGCATGGAAATTTGGGAAAATAAAAATCAGATTAAACTCAGGCATGAGAAGATGGCACAAAAATACAGATGATAGTTAAGACACTGGAGTAAATCAAACATTAAGACATACCAACGTCAGAGTAATTTTTTTCATTTATGATTGATGGGGGGGTATTTTTTTCTTTTTGGTTTTTTTTTTTTGTATTACCATAGATTCAGACCCAACAAAACAGCAAGCACAAACCCAAAAGTAAACCCCTAAACCTCTCTGTCTGAATAACTGCTGCACATTTGTAGTATTGCCATAGATTCAGACCCAACAAAACAGCAAGCACAAACCCAAAAGTAAACCCCTAAACCTCTCTGTCTGAATAACTGCTGCACATTTGTAATACAAAAGGCAGCCTAAAAGGCTGATTGTAAGAAGCACAGGTAAGAGAAAAGATTGTTATTACCAGAATTCTCTTCATGAGCAGCTTCCTCTTCTCCTTTTTCCATTTTTTCATTTTTTTCATTTCTGAGAAACAAAATGAAAATTGTACTCTCTTTTTGGACAGTAAATAAATAAATTTTTTTTTGCAACTCTACACTCTGATACTCCTTAAAATTAGTAATGAAATATAAAACCTGAAATTGCCCATCATATCAAGTCACAGGTAAGAAAGGCAGAAAAATATGAGCAGTTATTTAAAAAAAGTATTCTTTTTTACAACTATCCATGTTCAAAATTCTCAGTCTAACTCTTAGAATCATTCCCTTTCTGCATTCTCTTCAATACCTACAATAACTTCTCAAAACAGGTTTGCCTCCTGTTCTGACCTTCTCATTCTGCATTAAGAAATAAAAAACCCCACCTGTTTCTTTCCCCCTTTCTCCTAAAGTCTTGTCCTTACCTAAAACTCTCCAGAAATCTGTCACTCCAACTGTTTTTGTACCAGAAATTGCCTTTGAACTCAGCATTTTTTGCAACAGCAGCCTGAACTTCCCCTTCATCCATTGGTCTCACAGGTGTTTGAACTTATTTTCACCTAACTGATGTGCCCCAGTCTGTGAAGATTTTGGTTTTTTCCTCTAGATTCATTTGCAGGGACACAGAATCTTTCCTATTTCCTGGTTCTATTATCAGTTGTTACCACTTCATTTAGTTACATCTTATGATTAAGAATGTTAAATCAACTTGTCACCGTAGAGCTATGTGCAAGACTCTGCAGCTATGTCCACTCATCACCAAGCTGTGCTCTCACCTTTCTTTATTTATTCAGCTCATAGCTGTCCTTGTCTTAAAAAAAAAAAAAAAAAAAGGGGCCAAAATGCAATGAAGAAACAAAACCCCAATTGAAATCATACAGAATGTTGTCTCACAAAACCTCAGTGGTCACACTCAGGTCACATGTGCCCTCTAATACAGTCCACAGCTTTTCTCCCCTCTAAATTACCGTACACACGGCACCAGAATGACAGAATCATTGGATTCCAGCTCTTGATTTAGTCTTGAATAATCAATAGTAGAAGAAGCTTCTTGTTCAAGTTTGGCAAAGAAGATCTCTTTTTCTTCTTGTTCTTCCAAGGTATCCAATCCAACTCCCACGATATCTTGACTAGGCCCAGAAGCTAAAACTGAATCTAAATTTCAAAACAAAGAACAAACTGTGTCTCTTCTGTATGTCCACACAGAATAGCCATAACAGTTAACAACTACAAACAGACTCATAAAACATGAACAATGGCAAATCATCACAAACTAGTACTAGGAGCCTTCAGTTCATGAGATGCAGCTGACAGAAGTGAAGAATCCCATCTCAAATAGAATTAAGGCAAAATGTTTTTAATAGTAATTTATTTAGATCTAGTTAACTTCATGAAATGGTTGGGCTCTCAGTTCTCACCATTTGTCTCCAGGCTGTCTCTACTCCAGGAGACAGCATCCTCATTACTCTTCTGAAGCTGCATCTTTTCCACATGCATATTCTCACAACTGTCTCCCATAGGCTGTGAAGTGTTTTGTTTCTTGACAAAGCTTCCATTGGTTCCAAGCATTCCTAGGAAAAAAGTTGCAATATTCTTGACTACCATCTAAAAGCTATTTGTATGACAGTTGAGTCTTTTAGTCAAGGCTCAGAACTGCCAGTTTTAATCCCATGTTGCAACTGCAAAGATATGCAGTCTCAAATCACATTTACCAAATTTCCATTGCTATGATTCTATATATAAATGTGGTTTAATTAAGGTATTATAAACATTGTCTCCCTACCCTTCATATTTACACATAAACCTAAAGTTCAGACATTGTCTTAGCAGCTATATTCCATTTGTTGCTTAAATGCCTTAAGGAAATAAACAGTAACTAAAGTCACTTAAAGGTCACTGATGAACACCCAGTTCTTCCATTCTGTTTATGCAATGACAATTTGCCCTCCTTAGTCTAACTTCATTGCTGTGAGGGTTTAACATCACCTTACCAACTTTCTGTTGGCTCTCAGACAGAATGCTGACTTAGCTACTTCCTTACTGAAGACTAAAAGCCAGACATTGCAGGACATTGCTAGCTCAAAAACTCTCTTCTGCCTGCCTGTGTAACACACACATTTATTCAGAGATTCTGTGTAAGTTCTCACTGGAGAAGGGCTAGGAGAAAAGGTGCATTTTAACCAATGACATGTGAAATTATATAACAGTTTTCACAGAAGGGAACAGTAAGTCTGTCTTTTCCAATTCCATGAACCTTCAGTTTGTAAAATAAACTCAGATTTTTTTGTTCTGCCTGGACACATGATGTTCAGACTGTAGCTGTGTCCTTGTTCTGAACATACCAGGAGGAGTGAAGATACTGACAACAGCTCATTTCCTGCTGCAGGAGACTGGAGGAGTTGCATACATCACTAACTCTTCAGAACAAGAGCACTAAACTAGTCTTCCACATGCTGATCAAGTGCTTCAACTCGAGGCTCTTCCTCTGTCCCCCATACAGGTTCATACAAGTCCCTTTTAAGAAATGCCACACTTGCCTATATCATGCCAATGGCAAATCCTTTCCCTTTGGTACTCAAAATGTACTTAGGGTGAAGGAAGATGGGGAAAGTAAGTGTCTCGACACCTTTTCCATCCTTACTGAGCAGCCCTCAGCACATTCATTTTCATTACAAGAGCCTCCCTGAAGTACAATAGGGTTTTTTTCTGGATCTCAATGACAAAGTCCCCTTGCATGTTTTATTAGTAGGCTAAGTGCTTAAGATTGTACATCTTGGAAATCCACATTCCTGTATGTAACTTCCTCTCTGTCCTCAATACAGAGTTCTGACTGAACTGCCTCACATGCAACAAATAAATGTCAGGGACATTGTCTAACGGTCAAGCTCCATATATACACAGTTAATGCTCAAATACATTTTGCTACTACACTGAAAAGTATAAAATGGAAAGCTCAAAGTGTTCTGTTAACAGAAGTGAAAAACTAGAAATTGCCCATTTCTCGGGTAGCCAAATGCAGTAATTTAAAGTAATTTACCCAGATGGCACTTCATTCTAGTTATCCAGACAACAAACAGGAGTCTGCTTGCAGCTGGGACACAAGTTTTTTTGCAGAGCTTTAGATTAGCCATAATCTCACCAGACCTTCAACACCCTCTTTTTGAATGAGAATATGTTAGCAGAATCAAATGATAAACTGTGACAGACCTCCTGTGTAAGACTTGCAAGAAAGGAGAAGGGGATATACATCAGTAAAAAGAGTTAGAATGCTTAATACAACAACATTTTAAAGACATTGTCTTATGTTGTTTTATTTAAATCATCACAAACTCAATGAACTTTCTGAACAGATGCACATTGATCTTGAAGGCTTCATGGGATTAGTGTAAACTATGTAATATTTTAAAAGTTCAAACCAAATCTGGGTTGTTTATGTCTTTAAAAAAGTATCTCTCATAATAATCTGAAAATCAGGTACTGTTTTTGCAGCCATTAAACTTTTCAATTTAGCCACTCTCAACACCCAGACAAACGGTGCAGATTACAGGGGATATTATGGTCACTAATGAAAGAAACAATGTCTGTTTACACTCACCCAACACAACTGGAACTCTGAGAAACTTAACAAACTTGGAAAAAATAGAAACTTATATGGATTTCAAAGCATTTTCACCATGGTTTTGGCTGCTTGAATAGTCCTACTTGTTTCTGTGGGGCTAGCAAGAGTGTTTTCTTTTTCTTTCTTTTTTTTTTTTGGGGGGGGAAGGGGTGTATGTGTATTTGTTACTTTTTGTAAAAACTTCTTAAAGCAACAGTTTTCTCGAACTCCAAAGATTTCTCTACCTGTAACTTCACAGGTGACATTTTGAAAGGCTAATGATACACAGTACTCTACTATTTTAAGTCCTGCCATTTGAATTAAATTAAAATAAGAACCTGAGTTTCACTTAGAAGAGTATTTCTAGCCACCACACTTGCACAGAAAAGTTTAAAAACATAAATACAAAGGACTGAAACCAACAATGACAAACATCTTCTTAAAAAGTAACTTCTTTTTTCCCTAACCTGACCGAGACTGTCAGAATTGAGCCATTTTACCATTTTAATTTTATAAAAAACACAGTAAATTTGTTACCCTCAGAAATGTCTGGACTGTCAGAAGAAGAGGTTCCTTCTCCTCTGTTTAAGTATGACTCTTTCTTCTCCTTATGGAATTTTTCCAACAGTTTGAATTTAGACAAAGCCTTGCTGCGAGATGCACTGGAAGAAGGTTTAGAGGGAGCTACTTCTAAGTGTACATAAGCATTTACAAGATTTTATGCATAATGGACAGGGAATAAAGAGAAAATTAAGATGTGAAACTTCAAGTTGACACTTTTCAAAAAGCAATACAGTTCAGTTTCTTGTAGATAGCATTATCTCTAATTTTCCAGCTACAACTAAAAATTAAAGTTAATATTTATAACTTCTGAAAATGTACTCCTTTTTTCGGTCTTTTTATGCTAAAAAAAATAAATCAATTCCTTCTTGCTACATATATACTTTGCATTCAATTACACTGTTCTATATATTACCTGAAAACAAATGAAACTAGTAGAACCACCTCAAGAATAAAAGGTTTGTACTACAGGTTTTGAAAGAAAGCATCTAGATCAGTACATAGAAAAGTGGGAAAACATAGGTACTTACATGCAAATACTACTGTCTTTATCAATGTCAGAACAGTTGGTTGATGGGGGACTTGCTCCCTTGTGGGGACTTGCTCAGCAGCAAACAAACCCTTGTGGGGACTTGCTCAGCAGCAAATACAGCCAAACACCTCCCACCCACATTAGCAGAATTAAGTTTTAGATAACAGTACCTATGCTGAAAACTGTTCTCTCATCATCATAGAATCATAGAGTGTTTTGGGTTGGAAGGGACCTTAAGGATTATCTAGTTCCAAATCCCCTGCCATGGGCAGAGACACTTTCCACTAGAATAGGTTGCTCCAAGCCCGATCCAATCTGGCCTGGAACACTTCCAGGGATGGGACATCCACTACTTCTCTGGGCAACCTGTTCCAGTGCCTCACTACCCACCCTCACAGGAAAGAGCTTCCTCCTAATATCTGATCTAAATGTACCCTCTCTCAGTTTGAATCCATTCCCCTTGTCCTGTCACTATATCCTCTTGTAAAAAGTCCCTCTCCATCTTTCTTGTAGACTCCCTTCAGGTACTGGAAGGGCACAATCAGCTCATCCCAAATCCTTCTCTTTTTCTGACTGAACAAACAAAGTTCTCTCAGCCCTTCCTTGTAGAAGAGGGTGCTCCATCCCTCTAATCATCTTAGTGGCCCTGCTATGGATAGTCATGCTACACCCTTTACATACCTTCAGCTAGCCAGATGGTCTGTATTAAGACTTCCCCTTGTTAAAATTGTCAGGGTGGAAGAGGCTTCTAAATTCAGAGAAAACTCTTAGTTATGGGTCTTTTTTACTTTACCTTGACATGAGAGAGAGTGTAGTCTAAGGGATCAGGCCAAATACTTCTGCTATCTAGAAACAAGAGTGTGGGGATGTGTGACCTGAAACACCTCAAACACCCAAGATGACTAAAGGAAGCTGGTGAGCATAGAGCAGGTGCAGTGCAAGGAGAGAAGAGGTATAAAATCCATTCTGATGGGGTCCTTTATTCTCTCAACTGATGTATAGGACCTCTAGTGAGGCATCACTTCTCTAGATTTATGTTCTCCCACATTTACTGGGAAACTATGAGTGTTGACAGTATGTCTTCTATTATACATAATGCAAACACCCGGTACCTTTTAAAATAGCAATTTGAAATAACTACCAAAGTCCTCCTACTGCTCATATTTCAAATATTAATCCTAATTCAAGAAATAAATTCATTTTTAGTGTTTATCTCCTAGACTGAGATGTTTTGTAGCTATTCTATGCAAACGAGGCTTATGAAAACAGGGCAGCACAGACATTCTAGAAAGCTAACACAGGGAAATGTTCTATAGGCTACACACTAGATCACCAACATGATCTCAAAAACAAGTACCAATTATTTCATTGTCATGGCTCTCCAAAATACCATTGATCTGCTTGAATTTAACACCAACACCACACTTAAGCTAGTACAAGTTAATTGCTATTATCTTTTAAACAAAGGTATTTAATGGATCAATGCTTATAACTCTTAATTATCCTTTGGAGTTTCTCTTCCAATAGCATAGAAAATGATTTCACATATAACGCTGAATCTGAAGTTTCACTGACTAAAATAATCCTGCAGACAAAGCAATTTAAGTCTGTCATTATCACACCAACTCTGCTGTTTCTATTCCAGGAGCAGCATGCACAGAGCAGTACACTGGTCAGCAAAGGGAAAAGAACCACATCAATAGAAAGCAAGTGGAATGCTTACCTGACTGCTGACTTTGAAATTAAAAAGTAGAACAATGAACATTAATAACTCTTGAGTATGAAATACAGAAAGCATAAGAGACTTTCTGTTTTTTAAACAGGTGTTTACTACAAGTGAGAGATTTCTGTTCACATTTTCAAAGTTATTCCCCCTCCTTTCTCAGGCTTACATTCAATACTGCCTGTCCTACCACATTGCTACAGGTAGTGTATGATGTTATGACAACTGAGCAAAAGTTCACACAGTTATTAGTTTCTTCTGGAAATGACAAATGAAGTAAGTGGTAGCTTGTTTTAACTGAGAACACTAGGGTCAAATGGACAACTTGCTAAGGATCTTTCTATAGGAGACACACTAGTAATACAAGGTCAATACTGAATAAATACATCAAAACATATTAAATCAAATACCAGGCTGGGGATCTGAACGGGGACTCTTTTGCTCACTATTTCCCACTATTTCAGCATGGCTTTCTGTCAGTTTCTTCTCTTTCCTCAGTTTAACAAATTTTGTTTGAGAATCTTGAAAAGACAAACAGCAGGAACAGACAGGCAAGCAAGACAGGACTTCTTATTATTCAATTTATTTTTATCATTGAAATGACAAAAGCAAATAGAAGAGACATTAGTCAGAGTTAGGCCTTTAACCTGTCCAATATGGAAGACATTGTTTTGAATCATAATTTGCACATTTCAGTTTAAAGCTAAAGACCAAAGAGTTCAAACGTGCCTAGAATAACTAGTGGAGTTATTTTAAAATGTACTTTATACTTCTCAGCCAAATGAACAGAAATAGTCTACATCATTACCATTAATCTACAAAACCAAGTGAAAACAGACTATTAGTTTAACTCTCTGCCTACTTCCTGGCACTTCTGTAACAAGATGCCTTGGGAAAAAAGAACAAGATAACAAATAAACATACAGCACATTTAGTCTTCTTGTCTTTCAAGAAAGCATGATATAGATACTGAAGTAACTCAAAACCTCAAACTGGAAACAACTTATCAGCTTAGTATATTACCTAAACTAATTAGCCAGACTTTGTTAAGGTGAAAATACCTCTACACAGTGACACCCAAACACATCTACTTATACATACAGAGCAGATATTTGTAATGCAATGCCATACTGTGGGTGGAGGTAAGATTTATACATTTAAATAACTTGTATTTATGATGGTAACACACTTCGACAATACTAATTCTGTTAGCTGACAGACTATTAATAATGTCCTATCTGCAACCAAGCCTAGAGGAACACACAAGACTCTCCACAACATTTCAAAGCATACCAACATTTTTCAGAAATTAAATTTAGCTTATTTTCATGTTTTTTACCATCACAGCAATATTGTTATTTTTCCCCGTAGGACAATTATTTTGCTATTTAGGGGGCATTTAATAACCCTATGAAGAACTACAAATCGAAATGTTCATCTTCTCAGCCATCCTGTGCAGTAACTTTACATTGCAATGTGGCTGTGCCTTCATCTACTGTTAATACAACAGAGCAACACACGACACAACACCTGCTGGAGAATATTTGATCTGGCAAAACTTTGAGAAAGTACTTGGAAGCATGCAAGACCAAGAGACACACACACAGAGGAAAAATGGAGCAGTTCTAGAAGCCTATCCACACTGACATCCTTACAGTCACCTGACTTCTCATTTTAAAACACCACAGGTATAGCTACACAAACTAAAATAATTTGTTGATATACAAACCCTCCTTTATATGTGGGATTCATAATTCTCAATTGCAGCCACATGAAACTGCAGAGGAAAACTTAGTTCATAACAAAGTTGGCCAAGTTGGCCTCTGCAAATGGCTCTCTTTTGACTCCAAGTGAATTGCCCTACAACTAGACCCTAGTTAGCAGAATGGCATTCACTGTATTGTTTCTGTGCTGTGCAGTTCCTAATCCATCACTGTGACCACTTGTGAGTGTCCAGTGTGACAAACAGAGCCCTTTCATCATGGGATGGTACAACCAGCAGCTTTGCTTCATGCCACAGCTATCCTATCATCTTGCCACGACTGAAAATGGAAAGCCCTCTAGTAGGAATTAAAGGACTCTCTGCTTGGCAATATGAAAATATGAGGTAAGATATGGCTCACTGCATATGTCCCGCGAGCATAGAGTTCTCTGCAGAGAGTGGTGACAGAGAAGTAAATAAAATAAAACTAATAATTTGGCTGGCAAAAATGGTGCTTGGGAAAGAATTCAGCGCACAGACCTAGCATGTTTGGTTTGTGTTCCTATATTCTCAGTTTAATTATGTCCAAATGCCAAGTGATGTTGGACCTTTGATTCAAAAAGCATTATACACAGAGTACTTATACACAGAGTACTTCCAACTCCCTCCCTCTAGTTAAACTAAACAGCTGATAAGATAGTCTTAATTTAAAAAATTTAAGGGGTGGAATTTGTTTGGATGGAACAACTTGATATAATAATATTGTTTCTTCTGAGTCTGCTTTACATTTTAGTTAACCCATCAAGCACTGTTCTCTACAACTTGTAATCACCCTGCCTTTTAAGTACCTATTCCACTGTGTTTTGTACCATCAAAGTTTGGTTGCCTCAAGCATCTCAGTAAAAACATGGAAAAATGCTGAACTTAAGAAGACATGGGAAAATTTTCTTTGATAGTAGTAGAAAAATGAGGTCATGCTAACCTCTTAAGTCTCACACTGCCCAGCAAGAATGCTCTGTCCCTCCATTTTTTTAACAACTGTAAGGAAAAAATCATATTCCATGATTCTGTATCTCATAACTACCTGATAGCAACTCTCATATCTATCTGGGATTTGCAGCAACATCTTGAAAAGCCAGAGACAGATAAGCAGTGCAGACACCACCTATTAGGGCTATGCCTAAACGGCACAACTGCTGACTAGGATTTGACTCCCAGTTATGGTAACACTGACAGGACAGAGCTATGGTTAAAATCAGAGACTACCAGCAGTATCTTACTCTGACATATGAAAAACTGATTTTTGGAACTTTATGCTAAGCTCCAGTTATAAGTAATACAAGTCATGAAACTGAAGAAGACACCAGTTACTGCAAGAACAAGAGGCAATCACTCTCTGGAAACTCACTACTCATAGGCTTTACTATCCAACAAGAAAACAATGGAGAAATGGAAAACTAGAGGTGGAAAGCTTGTAAACAACAGTATCTTTTCTTCCAGAACTATGTGACCATGTCAATACTGAGCTAGCAATCATGTTATCACAGCCCATTTCCCCTTGAGCCATGGTTCTTGGCAAGGGAGATGTTGAGAATACTGAGAGATATACATCTTTGCTTCAATTGCTGTTGACAAGTTTTTCTGTGCTTCTCCAACCTCTTACAGATGTTGCAGTTAGCCTAAGTTTACACAAATTGGTCTTTTTCCTCCATAGTTTTGAAAACAGAAAATTAAAAAAAGTCAGTGTAAAGAACAGGTTGGTTACAGAACACACCTATAAATATTCCAGCGGCATTCATAAGCTATGTTTTCTAATTACTATTTATAATGTGTTTATTCTCTACAAGTTTTAACAACTCAAAAGCTATAGACAAAAGAGCAGCAAGTTTGCTTACAGCTTGAATATTAATACTTTAAAAAAAACCCAATTATATCTGAGTCCTATATTTTACAAACTTGCCTGGTAATATTCTAAAGCACTTGAGTGGTATCAGTTTAATCTGAAACCAGGCCTAACATGCAGTATGAGAAAGAACTAGCCTGACCCCCTGTGGCCAAAATATTGCAAAACTACATATTTACCAGCATCATCCAAATCTTTGTCAGACAACCACCACAGCACCGAATCCTTTTTCTTCGCTTCTTTATTCCTGGGCTGTCCCAATGTCTCAAGAATACTGGACTTCTTCTTTGAGCTTCCAAGTGAGTCATCTGAAAGAGACTGAAACAATTGCATACAAGATTAAACTCAGCTGTTACATTTTCACACTGTTTCAGTCTTTCAGCCACTCAGTTCTGGAATTCTGAGTCCAAATGCCTGTCTTTACTCCTCACTGTCTGCCTTTTTTGTATATGCATGACAAAGGTGATTAAGAAACAATAGCTGTATTCCTGTGGCATAAAACTGCACATTATAATAGCCCCACAGCCAGAATTTGGATATGTTCAAAGTTAACTACTTTGGAGAGTGTATGTTAGAATAAATAGCATCATCAGCTCTTTTTCAATTAGTTACAAGATATAAGAACCAAAATCCTGACTACATCTCTGAAGATAATGAAATAGAGCAGAAACAGTTTTGCATGGGCCTTGCTTTGTACAGGAACATTATTAAAAATCTAAAAATAAACAGGCACAAGCAACATTCTAGCTCCCAGCAAATCAGATTTCAGAAACTAATTTTATACTTTGTGTTCATGAAATATAACAGACATGCCAGAGTTGTTCCTACCCAACTGTGTATTAAGCTTTCATTTGTGTTAGTCATCCATGCTGATTTTGACTGATGACCTTAAATCAATGGAGAAAAAGTCTATGAGTACAAACATCCTATGAATTTCAGTTATTGAAGAATAACAGGAAGGAAAAGACAACTAACTTCTGCTCCTGCCTTTAACAAAGCTCTTTGTGGCCTACAGCAGGTTCAAAGCCACCACTACCTGTCCAGACACTGAACAAGGAAATACATCCATTAAGTTAGGGCACTGCAACCTTACGTGCTGTGTATTCTTTGTGCAGCAAGCTGGGGTTAAGGGAGAATGGAAAGAATGACTTTTAATTTTAACTTTTTTTAGCCATAACTGTTGAAACCAATTGTCCTAAAGTGTCTTAAAGAAGACAGTTGAATTGAGTTAGCAAAAGCTGTAAAGCATAAGAAACAAAGAATTCACATATGAAATGCATCATATGGGGAAAATTTCCAAAGCTTCATTTCTGTAATAGTCACAAATAACAAAATATGATAAATAGAATATCAGAGGCAACAGGATCGTGGGTACTGAACATGTTAAACACAAGGGTATGTTTTATTAAAACAAGCCCCTGCAGTCCTGTGCCTGATCCCAATTACACAAAAAGCACTACCATAAGAGCCTACCTTTACTACAGGCCTAATGCTTCAGTTTATATGGGCCCAACAGGTACATCCATAAAGCAAATACCAACTACATAAAACCATCACTTAAGAAAAATAATTACAATAAAATGTTCCTATGAATATCTCTGATCAGTAACATCTTTAGAGCTTACAGTTTCACTTAAGAAAAACTATGCTCTGAGCCTTGCACTTTAATAAAACCACAATTTTAATAAATTATAAAACTGCAGGACAACAGGATGTATTGCAATTTAAGCTGGCTCAGTGATATAGAACATAACAGCTCTACATTCCTAATAAATATCCAACAAATAACAGCTTCCTTACACTAGTCACAACACAAGTGCCACTGTCCCCAAAGGTCAGACTGCCTCATGCTAGCTAGAAGGACTGACAGGTGCTTGATGCAAGCTCTGTTATCACTTGCCTTTCTTTGACAGCTAACAGTATCTTTTGCTCTGCAAGCAGAACTTCAGTGATGCTCATACTCCTTAGAGCATCGTAACTAAAGAACCTGAAACTCCCACAGGTTGTTCTCATGTTTTGGAAACTTTCTATGTCCAGTCATCTTGTCAACTGCAGACAGCAAAGTTTCAGCAGCTGGGAAAGAAATGCTGACACAAAAAGAGTGGGGCATTTTTCCCAACATGTCAGTTGTCTCAACAGCAAAACTTAGAGATTTTCTTCCTTCTTTTGAACAGTAAGTCAATCAATCAACTTTTTGGACCAGTAATGACTTTACAAAATGAGTAAGTAGCAGCAATTTCTTCCTTTTCCTCTACAAAACAGCCTGTCAGTCTTTCAGGAAGACAGACACAGACCAAAAAAGCTTCAGTTGTTTAATCTCCACATAAATAAAAGCCAAAGGATTCAGTTTTAAGACCTGGAACAACTACACGGCACATAAATCAGCTTACCACCTCCTTTACATGTGAAGGAACTTAACGTAGTAGGTAGGTAATACAGGATTTGTGCTAAATCACTGACAGGGTTGGACTCGATGATATTTGAGGTCTCTTCCAACCTGGTTGATTCTATGACACTTTCACGACCAGCTGTCCTAATTATTTCAAACAACAAGTATTTTTCAGTGAAATAAGTCTACTCCAAATTATATTTTTTAGTACAAAATAATATGTTAACATATTTGGTGTTTCAATAAAAATTAAAAATGTTTTTCAAACATGGTTTAATGTGTGGTGTTTCACTTCCAGGTACTATTCTACAGATTTTCTAATAAAGATGTTATAGCCTTTCTTTTTGGAAGTCTTCCTTCTCAACAGCTCATACATATCAAGTAGAACAAAGTCAACTAAAAAGACTAGAAGCAGACAAAAGCTTTTTCACAACTTTGTTTTGCCTGTGGTCATCAAAAAAAAGCAAATGATTGAAGCACTGTGTACTAGAGAGACCTCCTCACTTTGGATGGACCAAGAGAACTTCTGCAAAACTGGGAGATATACCAATATGACAGATGATGCTTAAGGGAAATCAAAGTGACAATAGGTGAAGCACACTGAAACAAGACAGTAGTGGCAGGGAGTGGATGGACCACAGCAACACAGACAGTGGAAGAAGAAGAAAAGAATCATGGATGACAAGTCATCTGGAAAGGGGTTGGGAATCAGCAAAACCAGTCAGAGGGAATCATTAAAAGATTCATCCTACATGCAGTAATTGTTATCACACATTTGTGCTCCCTTCTGTATGATACTTTAGAAAATCCTCTTCACTGATAGCTTTTAAAGTTTCATGTATATGCCAAAAGACTTCAGTGTAATCCTCATATTAGACCTGCATCATCCAACTGTATCTAGAGTCCTTCTTTTAACTTTACATGTTTTAACCACAAACATACACTCAACACAAGCATCACCTACAGAGAGATTTCAAACAATGCAGCACATCAGCTTCTCATCTTTCTAACATTAAAAGGCCACACACTTTTATAAAAAAACAAAAGCAAAGAGAAGATGCATGTGTAAAAGTAACAGGAGTAGATAATGTCAGTGCTATTCGAGTCTGTATCTAGCCAGCAAAAACTCAGAAGAATCCATACTTTGAATGACTGGATTGGCAGTTTTACTTTGAAATGACAGAAGACAATTAAGGCATGATTTGTTAAAAGTTACAGTCTCTGGAACATGCCAAATACCACTCAAAATAATTCAATACAGCTATTTTGACTTGTTTTTTTCCTAACTCAAGCATTCTCAATGTGGGCAATAGCTGGGGAGCAAGAAGAGCATGTCAAATGAGGAACAAAACACCAGAAGCAATCACGCAGAGTTTTGACAGATATGCAAATCAAATGAAAGAATAAACCTCCTTTTTCTTCCCCAGAGCAATTCCCTTCATAACAACAGTATAAGGAACTTTTGAAGGGAATGCAAAGCCTAATTTTCTAATGGTACTAACATTAATAATTTCAGAGGATTCAAGAGTGCTAACTCAATTACACCACCAAATTAATTACTTCTCATGAGTCATTAAATTATAGCACAGCCTTTGCACCTAAAAACCTTCAAGCATACATTACATTTAACAGAGATCTCAAGAATAATCTCTGCCATCATTAGCTTACATACAGCAACAGAATCTAGTAAAGGCCTTATGTATGCAGGATTTATGTTTTTGGGTTACCACAATGTCTGAAAGACCACAGGGCAAGTTCTGAAATTACAGGTCTAATTTGCAGTGAAAAACACATACCAAGTCAAGGCATTTCAATGATGTCTGATAATCGTTAGCTGAAGTCATAACCCACAGACATGCATGATTTTGCATGTACTCAAAATCATCATCAGCACCAGGAATGAAAGGAATCAAAACTTTCTAATCACTACAACATGCTTCATTTTTACAAGAATTTGTAAACAGAATTCAGTGACATTAGATTATGCAGAAAAATAAGACTATTCTTAAAACATACCTTGTGTTTATATACAGGAAAAGTTTTTAAACCTCATTTTCAACTACATATCAATTTGAAGCTTCTGATGCTACATAACACATACAATAAAACTGAAACAAAAATCAAGAAGCGAAGGCTCTTTCTGAAGATAAAACCTAGTAATGATTTAATCTGAAAACTGTTCTCTTGATTTCAATACAGCAAAATAGGACTAATTAAGTTTAGCAATTAAGACCTTGCAAAGACCCACATGTAAGACATTTATGTAAATTATGTGATGAAAGCACAGCTGAATCTTCCATTTCATGCTCTTCCATACTCAAATTTCCTCTGTATTTTATAAGACAAAAGGGATGTGGCCTTGCTGTCAAACATACCTCTTTCAGGAACTCTTCAAACTGCTCATCTAATTCCTCTTTTGAAATTCGATGAGCCATAATCTGCAACTGGATGTTACCTTCCACACAACTGAGCTGAAAAACTAAGATTTAAAATAAAAATAAAGTTAACAAAATGCATTCTGAAATGAGATGCAACCTAGTGATTTGCCTGAATAGAGAGCTATAAGCAAAAACACAATCTGGAGAGATGACAAACATCATTCCTCCCACCCCTAATCTAAATTATTTACTGAATTAGACAATCAATGCAAACATACCTGGATTACCCAAATTCCTTACCATCAAAATACTCATTTCCAAAGCAACAAGTTCAGCATTTAAACTTTGATGGATAAATAAAATATGATTCTCTTCATCATCTTTACAATGTTCTTTGAAAGACATCTCCCTTAGCTGGTCATTGAGAATCTACTGCACTAATATTTCCATTTTAAGGGTTTTCAATTCCTTTTTAGGTTTCTTCTCCAAAACTGGAGACACCTGGCATTGCAAGTTTTGTTTCATCATCTCTGCTGTGCTCAGGATTCACTAAACAATAAATACACAAAACTTAAGAGTAGAGAATGACATTCTCCAAAGTCTGTGTTGACTCCTCAGGTATAAAACATTCCCCACACTCAAAAGGCTACAAAGCTTTTGTGCATTACACTGCTGAACACACATGGCTACCTTCAAAACTGCATGTGTATGGCAGCATCAAACTACCCTAGCATCTTCCAGCATGAGAAGTGCTATCTAAACATAAAAGGGCTAAACATTTGCAGAAATGCTTTTAGCATTAAATAAAACTTCTCCCAAAGTGGAGCCCACTCAGTACACAGGACTGTTACCTACCTACTAAATTGACTTTGACAGGCGAGTCGTGACAGCTGCTTCCTGCTTTCACTCTTTATCCATCCACAGACCACCCCACACTTTGGCTTTGGCAGCTAAAAAGAACAAAAAGAAGTCATACAGCAGCCAGCCCAGGCTTTGAATGGAGTAAGAAATCCTCATATAAGCATATGGACAATATCTCCAAAAACGCGGTAAGAAGATTAAGAATGTTCCCTCTCAGGACACACATAATCCAAGTATCCTTTTATACTTTAACATCAAAGAGCACTTGATGCTAAACCTCAGGTGCTTTAAAAGTTTACTAGCCGTGCCAACTCCTTAAGCAGGTGGAGAGTACTGGATTCTAGCCTAGCCACAAGAACAAACTGACTCTTCTGACATTACATGTACCAACCTTATAATTACAAGTTTTATGAAAACTAGCAATACAAAACTTTATTTTTTAAAAGGAAAAAAAAGTTGCCCAGAGAGGTAGTAGATGCCCCAGCCCTGGGACTGTTCAGAGCCAGGTCGGATGAGGCCTCGAGCAACCTGGTCTAGTGGGGAGGTGTCCCTGCCCAGGGCAGGGGGGGTGAGGACTAGATGGTCTGTAAGGTGCATTCCAACTCCTAAAATTCTATGATTTTGTGACAATATGCCGACAATTTCCACAACAGAATTTCACAGACCAACTCTACCCTCAGCAAACAAACCTTTCAGCCATACCTTTAGGCTCGGAGGTTCACAAACGACTTTGTGCACAAAACAAGAGAAGGCACTTGCTGGGATATATCCTACCACACAGTGCAGGAAGCACAAGTGGTGAGAAGCTATGGCTGAGCCGCAGGGATGAAGGAAAGCTTAAACAGCCTAACGCGTTTCGTGCGACCTCTTCAGTACTCC